ATATTCGATTTTCCATCCACTTCGCGTTTCATCTGAAGAAAAATGCTGCTGAAGCCACTGAAATGATTTGTGCTGCATATGGAGAGAACGCTGTAAGTCATGCAACATGCAAAAGGTGGTATCAAAAGTTTCGCCAAGGAGATTTCAGTCTTAAAGATGAATCGCGTGCTGGACGCCCTGAAAAGATTGAAACGGACGAATTGCAAGCACTGCTGGATATAGCTCCCCGAAAGATGGCAAAAGGTCATTGATGCAAACGGAGAATATTTCGCTGATTAATATTTTTTCGTTTGTTTTTAAATAAAGATTGAATTTTACAAAAAAAAGCTCAGAACTTTTTTGTACACCTAATACATGTAATATATTATTTATTTAAAGTATGTATTATTATATAAGGATAACATTCCCGAAATTTGCAATATTTTAAATTTGCATTAAATTTTACATTATTAATTTTGTTATTATTATGCAAGTTAAAAATGCGTGTGATACGTAGATATTTCTCGAGTTTATGATACTTATATTTTATTAAGTAATGAGTGCTTTGTAATGACTTTTTAATTAAGTTTTATACAAACGCTGTTTATAGGATTCTATTTGTTTCTTGAATTCGATGCAATTAGTAGAAACCGTGACGCCGTTACTAATTGTTTTTCGTCATCGCATCGCGAATCTATGATAAAACTGACTATATTCTGAATAGTGATTAAAACGGTAGTTATGGTCGATACGTTGATTTTTCCGGGAAATAAACGAAGCCACTCATGTCCAGTTCCCATCATCCCCCCGCGAGAGAGACAAATTATTCAAAAAGCCCGTCCGCTTTTCTCTCCCGCGAGCGCTATAATACGAGTGCCCGTCGCTTGTATACAGGGGGGTTCGTATTAGAGGGTTTGCGGTAGGATGTACCATAAGCACACTGCATATGGGTATCGGAAACGCGCGTAGATCACGCAGGATTATTCGGACACCCCCGGCGATCCCTAAGCTCTGTTGGATGCATGCTAATTGCTATGAAGGCACACATCCGTGTACATTGTCTGTCTACAGAGTGTCTAAGCATTAATTATTCCAATCTTAATTAGTGATTGATCATCATTGTTCTGCACGCAGCGATTTTGCCTTCATTAGAATCTCAAAGCTTTCTTTGATCGCATTTTATTTGTAAACGACTAAAAATGAAAGGCTCGTTGAAAATTAAAATACATTTGTCTAAATAGAAAAACATTTTCCACTTGTAAGTCTACAAGAGAATTCTTTATTTGCACGAAGTTTTCGAAATCTATGTACCTATCGATTTATAATGAAAAAATATCAGAAAAGTTTTAAGAAATAAGCAAAATAAGTTAACTTGAAAGTAAAAAATATGTTTATTTAACTTAATCATAAAGATGCTATATTTATATAATTTTTAAAAATAAATTTGATAGAGAGTTTTGGAACACCATGTATATACACTGCTATTTATGTACAAAGACGACGCACGTGAATGTGTATGTATGTGTGTGTGTGTGTGTGTGTGTGTGTGTGTGTGTGTGTGTGTATGTGCTTAAAAAGGAAGGGGCAGTTAATAGGGGATGGTGAGATCCATCCCTATAGACATGCTTTCGAGAGCACCACGAAAATAGCGCAGTCCACGAACAAACACGCAACTACATGCGCAACAGGAAAGGTAATCGAAGCGAAGAAATACAGACTGGATCCAGATCTTTTAATGCACGAACTAAACTTTTACAATTTCAGTTTTCCAATTTTGATCAAAGTATTTCTTGGTCATCATTTGAGATTTATTATAATGGCACCTGTATAAAAATATACAGATATTGCTAAAAAGATATGCAAAAATAAATACACAGAATAAAATTACATTTGACATTTAAAAATGAAATACCTATGAAGAATTAAATTAAAACTTTTTGTTGCTTTATCGTTTATTCAAATTGCACAGAAATCAAGTGTGACGCAGCTTCTATATTTTTATAAATATTATAGATATTTGATATTTTTGTCAAATATCTCGGAAAAACATATAGATTACTATTTTTAGAATTAAATAAACCGATTGTCTGTACACGCAAAAATGTATGGAATAAAATTATTTTTCACAAACGATCCACTCGGCGAGAGAAATGCATCGATCACAGGCAGTATTAATGCAAACTCCCTTTGTATATCACACCATTTCCGCGCGTGTTAGAAAAATAATCTCTCATGTTTATGTATCCCGGGCTTTCGTATCCTTTAATGCGCCCTATGAATTTTTTTTCAAAGCATCGCGGCGGTCGAATATTTTTCGCATTACGTTAAAAATGAAAGTACGATCCTCGAAGGCGGATCTCACCACGAATAAATCACCACACGAGGTCGACTCGTGTAGGTGGAAGGGCGGAGGGCGATTCGGCGATGGTAGTGTTTCGCGTAAAATCAGCTTAAAGGAATTTTTAGACATCAAATTACTTACGGTATGCAAACTTTTCGTCTTTTCGCGTTTAGATACGCCGACCCTAAATCACTTTTAAAACGCCGCAAAATGGATTAGCCATAAAGGATATTAAGGACTAATCGAAGTTGTGAATTCATTAGGCGAGCGCATAGAGGTAAACGAGATTACAAAGTCATAATTGAAGACTGACTGAAATCGTGCTAATTTCCATTATTCCGTGTCGTCCTCGCGATTTTGGGTGTCTAATTACATAGTCTTGATAATTTATCATTTCTGTAAGCATAGTTCATGAGTAGAGTGGTAATTTTTGAATTTTTGAATTTTTCAACTTTTCGAATTTTTCGACTTTTTCTATTTTTAGAAAAATTTGATTGAGATTTTTTATATTTTAATATTTGTTTAATATGTCACTCATATTTTTTTATATATATTCTTTCTCTTTTTTAATATATGTAACTATACTTTATTTATCTCTATTCTTTTCACTTTTTTATTCTCTTCTATATACAGACTGTAGATTTTCACGAAATATTGAAATAACATCAAATTGAAGTGTCAATGGTCAGATCCTACGCTAAATAATTACACTGGCGCGATCATTAACATATCCGTTGTGTTGTAATTATACGCTGCCGGTCCTGTCGTAATTATTGAGCCAACCAAACTTAAACTGATGCCTGCTTTGGCCGTAACCGTAGTTCGCATGGAACAGCACGCGGGGGTGCGATTTAATTAATTAGGGAAACGACGATTGTCCCACGACGACGAAAGGGTTGGTCGTCACCGGAATAGCGCTATCGATTTTTTTGCGCTTTTATGTGACTTTTCTGCCTGTTTTTACTGCGAAAAAAGAGAGCATTATAAAAAGTATTTATTTTTTACAGAAAAATAATGATATATATAAAGAAAGAAAAGTATTTGATATTTCCGTATTTGTTATTTATTATAATTGCGTAGTAAATAACTAAGCTCTCTATTTATAGTTATTACTGCTGTAATGTTAGTAATAATAATCTTACTTATAGTTTTACTAATTATAAAAATATTGTATTCTAAAGCATTTTCAAATACATGAATACAATAAAATATCAAGATGAATAAAATAAAATAAACATTTTTATATAGTACATTTATTCGTAATTATAATTATATCATGAATATAAATATTTTCTTTACATTCCCTCATTATTTACATCACAATAGTAACTAAAAAACATATAGAGGGAAAAATATAAAAACTATCACTTTTACGATTGTAGTTACATGAATACCATAGTACAGTATTGAAGCAATTATAATTTATATAGTTGAAACAATTATAAACATATAGTTAGCACTGAAAAGGATAAATTATAATTAAATTATGGCTAAACTGTTTCTATTGTTGAATCATTTTTTTTCTTAGTAATGACAATGTGAGAATTATGATTTTTTATGATATTCTAGATTTATTTATTTCGTTGTATTTAAAAAATATATTTATGTGATTATATTTAATATTTGGAAAAATTAAAAAAAGAATGTATATATACACACACAGGATATTTAAAAAATTCTTTACAAAAAAGAAAAGTCTCTCTGTAACTTTATAGAGTTTGAGAGTAAAAAGTGAAAGTCCCATGTTTAAGTACGTAACGTCACCCTCCCAGGCTTTTAAACCAGAGCAGCATGAATCGTTCAATCCCCGCCCGATATTAATATAAAACGTCCATGCTAATAACAATCGTGACTCGCTATCATGACTCGACATTTCTCATTCGTTTCAACTTTTCCCGAATCACTCGGTAAAGTATATTAACAGGTTGCCAATATCGTGAAAAGTCGTTGTCGATAAAAGGGAACTGGCGATGGCGGTCGACATTGTGAGGCGAACAATTTAATATGCGCGGCCGAAACGGAGATCTTGGGGATGTAGGCAGGTCCTTATCGAGAAGACCCTCCCGTTTCTATCATCGGCATACCTTATCTGTCTTCTGGCAGTCACAAAGCCCAAGATCTCTCCCGTTTATTGGAAAGCTCTGCCATCGACTAACCGTAGGCGCGGGATGAAAGGCGAACCCCGCGAGCTTTCTCGCGGTATTATCGATACAGGGTCGTCCCGCAGTCAACCTACGGTATGTCGTCTGACTGAATGTTGATGCCCGCCGAGGCAATTTGATAGAAGCACAGAATTTGCATGACATTCCGTTTTGAGCGATCGCTCCGAATACGATGTCTCGACGAACCGAATAATTGAGGGGATTGACTTCCACGAAAAAAAGTGGGAGATAAGAGTGGAAGAGAACTTTTTTCGTTATGCGAATTTGTTTGGAAGAGATTTATTACTGTTATTTTCAATTGTTTATACAGCGACAACTATTAAATAAAAATTTATATTTAAAATACAATATAATACAATATTTTATTTACTATTATTTTTTAACAGAATAATAATTTTTATACTATTATATTATATTACTATATGTATATATATATATATATATA